TTTGAAAAGACAGCTGCGTTGGAAGGTTAAAAATAGAACAGCGCGTGCATTTAATTTAAGTAAATATCTCGCAATTGCTGTTGCCATCCACAAAAATCCAGATATTTATAGATGTTTCCAGTATATTCGAGAAGTTAATTATAAAGCTTATAAAAGCCGAGAACAAGCCTCATCTCAGTAGTAGCTGTAGTTCTAGCGAACTGCTTGTTTACTTAATGCTGTGATTGATTTGTAGTGATTTTGCTGTGAGATAGAATTAGTTTCTCTGTTTTGAATTGATTTTTGCTAAACGTTTGACATTTTGTGATATTGTTAGAATATTTTTGAAGAAATATTTCAGCATTTTGATATATCTCTTGTGGAAAGAATAAATTTTTATTAACTTTTTAACGTTAACCCTGTTTATTCCAGCCCTTTGTATTCAGTATGTCTATATCAAAACCAAGTGGTAGTAAAATTAAACGAAAAATCGCTGATAAACATAGAATATTCCAAGTAAAATGGGAATTAGAATATTTTTGCTGTGAAATAAAAGATAAAATAATCTGCTTGATATGTAATAATACTATTAATGTACCAAAGTTATATAATATTAAACGTCATACGAACAACACAAATCGAAATATAAAAATTACGAAGGATAATGAGAGAAGAAAAGTTGAAAGAGCAAGTTAGGAGTGAAAAAGCAACAGTCCATGTTTAGTAAAGTATTGCAAGAAAGTGAAGTGGCAGTGCATTCAAGCTACGTCTTGTCCGAGTTGATAGCTAAACATTCGAAGCCTTTTACTGATGGTGATTTCATCAAGGAATGCCTAATGAAAGCTGGAGAAATTGTTTGTCCTGGAAATGTGAAGGCTTTTCAATCAATTTCTCTGTCTCGAAATACAGTTGCGGAAAGAGTTACTGATTTAGCCGCGAATTTAAGTGATCAGATCAAAGCAAAATCATGTAGTTTTGAAAGTTTCTCCATTGCCTGTGACGAGAGCACGGACATTAGTGGCAAAGCTCAATTAGCAGTGTTTCTTCGTTCTTGTGACAAGAATTTTAACATTTTTGAGGAATTGCTGGAACTAATACCGATGCCTGGTACTACTACAGGAGAAGATATATTTACTTGTGTTTTTGGACTTCTGCAGAAATTCAATCTACCTTTGGCAAAATTAAATTCTGTAGCTACAGATGGCACTCTATTAATGACCAGAAAAAACAAGGGCTTCGTAGCATTACTAAGAAAAAATCTTAGTGAAATTCACGGTTCAAACATTCATCATATGCATTGTATTATACATCAAGAAGTTCTATGCACGAAAGTAATAAATATGGAGAATGTTTTGTCATATAAAAAAAAGTTATAGATCTCGAGGTTTAAATCAGTGTCAATTCACTGCTTTCTTAAGTGATAGTGAATATTCGCATTTGTCCTACTATACCGAGGTACGTTGGTTATCTTGCTCCAAGATTCTCACACAATTCCAGGGGGGGGGGGTGGTTGGGGGGGGGGGGGGGGGGGGGGGGGGGGGGGGGGGGGGGGGGGGGGGGGGGGGGGGGTTTGAAAGAAGAAATATGTCCAGTTTTTAAAAACGAAAAATCAAGACGTAAGTTTGTTTTACGATCCAATATCGGATACAAGATTTATCTTTCTTGGTTGATATAACCAAAACACTTAACGATTTAAATTTATCGTTACAAGGAAAAGATTATATCATTACGAACATGTTTGACATAATTAAAGCATTCAAATGTCAACTAGTTCTTTGGGAAAAACAACTTAAAAATGAAGATTTGACGCACTTCCCGACGTGCAGCATGAACAAAGTTATATGATACTTGTTCGTATCGTAACAAGTTTATATGATACTTGTTCGTATCAAAAATATGCAGAAAAAAATGCAAATTTAACAACTGAATTTGAAACGAGGTTTAATGATTTTAGTTTCCTCGAAGACAATTTTTTTTTTTTTTTTTTTGTTTTCTACGATTTTCTCAGTAAGTATTGACTCAGTACCCAGCCATATGCAAATATAGGTGATCGAGATTCAATGCAACTCAAATTTGAAAGCAAAATTCATTGAAGTGGGCGTGCCTGAATTTTACAAATATTTACCAGCCAGGTTTGAAAATACTCGAAAATTCGCATATGAAATTATTTCCATGTTTGGTAGCACTTATCCGTGCAAGCAGTTATTTTCAGTCATGAAAGGTAATAAGTCTCCTATTAGAAACCGTATTAATGATGCTCACTTTGGGTCAGCGTTGAAAGTTATCACTGCAAAAAAATTTTCTCCCGAAATAGGAAAGATAATAGCAGAGAAGAGATGTCAGTAGTATCAGGACGTAACATTAAATTTTTCTTGTTCTTTTCTATATAAATATATTATGTTTATTATTGTATTATTCGAAATAAATCTACGTTTCTATGAATATCGATTTTTTTTTTTTTGCGGCCCACCTAAAGTTAAACCTTGTTTTTGTGGCCCAAGTGTACCTATGAGTTTGACATCCCTGCTTTAGATGAACTACAGAACCAATTTTCTGCTGCACAGTTTGAAGACTTTGCCAGTTCTGGAGAAGATAGACTTGATGTCCTTTTTTGGTACCTTAAAAAGAATAAAAAGAGCTGATGGAACACCATAATATGATAGACTAGCAAGAGTTTTATGTGCTATTCTCGTAATTCCACACAGTAATGCTGAGTGCGAGAGAGTCTTCAGTGTTGTGGGGGGGGGAAAACTGTTTCGTTCTTCAATTTCACCAAAAACTTGAAAACATTTTAATTGCTAAATGTTATGAGGAAACTAATTGTTATGACAGGAAATTTTCCAAAGAACTTTTGGCTAAAGCCAAAAACTGCACTCTAAATTCATTGCAATAATTTTTTTTGTGTAACATTAAGTTCTTGTTTTATGTTTCCTAATAAAATTTTTTAGTTACTACTTAATTGAGATTTACTAATGTAAGTACAATTTTCTTTTATCTATTTGTATAAATTGTTATTTTTTTAAATCAAAGCATGATATTAATTCTTCGTGTTCTTCTGAATTTTGGAGAAATCTTCTGAATTTTTATCTTTAGAGGTTGGCAGGTATGTATTAAAATTACCATAAACTTTGACCTTAATTTTTGTAATCCTTAACCGAATAAAATCTAATTACCTTAAATTTTTTCTTATGTAATTAACAAAAATATGTGAAAATATTTCAGTCAAATTAAACTTCCAAATAATAGTGAAATTTGATATACAGTACAAATTGCGTAATCCGGACATCCATTATCTGGAATGATTTATAATCTGGACCTCGAAGCCACAAACATTTTTTTTTTTTTTTTGTATGCTTTACGCATGCCCGTTTAATGTATAACGGATGGTATAAGCTAGGCTAAAATTATCTAATTATCTATTTCAGTTAATGTTGCAGATTGTGCTGTTCCTTAATCTTCTAATTGAATACGGCTTATTTTTTGCAGACTGTTAGAGCAATTTTATAAATATTAAGCTTGAACTTATGTCAAAAATTAGATCCGATTATGTCAAAAAGAGTTTCCAATTCTGGAGCTGGCAAAGGATCTACAAAGTGAAAGCATGTTTCAATGTACTGCTTCCGATAGTGAAGAAAGTGACAGAGGTTATTGAAAACGAAAAAATTTTGATCGACAAGTTAGTCGGTATTCTCGACACAGCAATTACAGGACTTGAGCAGTGAAACTTTCTAACTGAACAAAAATTATGTCTGTTAATAGACATAATTTGCACAAAAAACGAAGCAACTTAAACAACTTATATTGAGAAAAATGTTTAGTAAAGTAAACAGATAAATATTAAGCTTTTTTTTGTAAATTTTGATATCCTTTAGATCATAATTGCTCTTTATTTCATAAATTACGGTTTCATATTTTTGATTGTATAATTTCTGCATGCTATCTTACCAGATTTAAACTAATGTCAAGTAAGAATATTAAAGCCTTTTTGGCTCTGTTACACAATAATGATGTAGCGGTTATTCATTTAGAAGTATCAAATGAAAAGGAAAGGGATGCTGCTAGGGCCAGAGGATTGTTAAGACAAATGAAATACTTTTGATTTATCTTAATTTTACGTTTCTTGCTAGATTTTCTTTAGGTAGTCGAGAAACTTGCTGCCATTTTTCAAGCAGATAATGCAGCTGAGAGAACGTCTGAAATGTTAACTGCACTGTAATGATTAGTGCCAGTAAGTTTTTCTTTTTTGGGCTGCAGCAGGGTGGGTGGCAACAAGATTTTTTTTTTTTTTTTTTTTGAGATACTTTTTCTGAAATTATTTCAAACCCTGTCTACAGAAATGCATAGTGTCAGCCTTATTGCAGCCTGCACCTTTCTGATCATATTGCTGCCATAATTGATAAATTGGTTAGTTTTGTTGTTAGTTACTGTTTACCGTATAATTGAATCTGGGTTCAAACCCTGGAGAAGGCATGCATTCTTGTTAGTGTATGTAAATGCCTGCATAGTGTTTGAAGTATATTAAAAAGTCTTCATGAGAGATTTGGTGGTGGGAGACTTGTAACTCCCTCTGCTGTTCTCCATCATATTTGGGATGAATCTATACATAAAGTATATCATTGGTATCCGTTCAACTTGTTGGATAGTTGGCCCATCTTGTTGGATAGTTAAAAATCTGGCATTTTGTCAAATGGATCAAAAATGCTCTATGTCACCTTTAAAATAATTGATATATTTGATTTAAATAAGAATTTCTATGATGAACAGCTATGCATGTTCTTTTAATTTTATTCTGATTTGAAATAATTATGTCAAAAAGTAAACAATTTCTTCCTATTAAAACTGTTGACAAGCGTTATATAATGAAAAGTTAAAACTGTAGTTAATGAAAAAGTGATCACCTTAGGTTTTCAAAACTTTTGCCTTTATTGTCCTTTTATATGAGTAGATAAGTTTTATTTGTGATTGTGTTAAGCTTTTCTATTGCATGTTCATTCCTGTTAATTTGATAATTAATGTTTCAGATAAAGGGGAATTAGAAGCAGCTCAAAGTTATTTAGAGCAAGCGGCACAGAATAACCTTGTAAGTATCGCATGTTTTAAGGAAATTTCGTGATAATAAATAAATAGTGGTAGGATTTTCATTTAGATATTGAGTACTTAGTTGTAGTTTATAAATATTTAGTTTTAGTCATTTAAAACTACTTTTATTCAAGTTTTGGTATTTCCCAATATTTTGTACTTATTTCTACCAATTTACAAAATTTTTCTCTTAAAAATTTTCAGTTAATTTCTTTATATTTTAAATTGTAGAACTAATAGCCATTTTATGCAATGCATTACTCAAATTAAACTTTAAATATTAATTTAGCCTGAATTTTCCTCTTTTTCTTCTGGGGCATATGTAAGCAAAATTTGAAAATTGGGCAAATAGAGATGTAGTTACTACTTTCACTGTTAAGCGAAAAAAAATTAAATTTCTGCACCTGTGAACAGTTAAATTGGCAGTTCTTAAAATAATACTACAAAATATATGTAGAGTTCTCCGAAACCAACCACCACAACCAAAGGGAAAAAAAAATTGGACTTATTTTCAGATTATTGTAAGCTTATCTTGTGAAGAACAATTCAGACCTTAACAAAGGTGGTTTTTTTTTTTTTTTTTAATGCTTCCTTTTTGCTATCATTCAATGTTTTTAGCACAGTTCTACAGGCCAAAATTACAATAACTGATGTTATTGCAATCAATGATTAGTGAACTGTTTAAAGTATTTTAATAATTACTGAAAGTGATAAAACTATTTTTCTGTTAAAAAGTATTAATGTTTTTTTACATGCATTTTTGTATTTGCATTTAAGAATTAGTAAAAGAGCTTTCATATATTTAGTTTATTATTTAAAGTTAATTTGTGATTAAAAATGTTTTTTTCTCTGTATATTTTTATTTAAAAAAATTTTTGTTGAGAAAATTTTGATTTTTTAAATGTCATTAGGTTTGCAAGTAAGGGACAATTTTTGATTTGTCTGATATTAAGTTATTTATTTATACTGACAATCATACCTAACTTGTATTCAGATTATCATAATTTTAGACTTGGACATATGAATTGTCAGTTTAACTTTTTTTTAAACTGAATATATTAATTAAATAATTTAAAATATAATTGATAAAAGCATTTTCATATTTATATTTTTATTTCATAATTTTTATGTGTTCTTATTTAAAAAATAGATGTATAAAAAATTAATATTTTGCCTTTAGCCGGAATTTCTGAAATCACTATCAGATGTTCTTCAACATGCAAGCAATACACCTGTGGCTAGAATGGCTGCAGGACTGCAGCTTAAAAATACACTTACATCTAAAGATCCTGAACTGCGAGTGAAATATCAAGAAAGATGGTTACAGTTCCCAGCAGATATTAGGAACTATATAAAAGCCAATGTAAGTCTCATGTTATGAAATATTTATTTTAGTAAATTCCTTGAATGAGAGTATTTTTAAAAGACTTCCCAAAAATTTTAACTCAATGTTAACTGCTGCCAAAAGACTACTTTCATGTTTTAGAGATACTGCATTAGATACCTGATTAACCAGACCTTTTCTAAGTGGCAAACTTTCACAGACCAGCGTAAAACAATATTGCCTCTATGGAAAATGATAAAGAAAAAGAGAAATTTTTGGAATAACAGCAATGATTGCATTGGCTATTAATGTTATCCACATCAGCTGTATTTAATAGTAGTTGATTTGGAATATATAAGCAATGTATAATAAAAAATAAAAATTTCTAGCTTTTTTTTTTTTTTTTTTTTTTTTTTTTTTTTTTTTTAGAATTTCAATTTGGCAACATTGTTGAACTTTTCTGGTGAAATAATCTTCAGTTCATTGATGTCTTAATTTCTTCATTTGTAATGATGCTGTGTGTTCTTTCTTTGAATATTGATTTAATTTACATCTCCAAATAAACTTATTTTCCATTAACCCTTTGAGGATGGAATGGCCATCATAGTGGCCATATAATCCCCTATTTAAAAGGACGGGGTTGTCCTTCCTTTAGTGGCCATATCTTTTCCCCCCATTTTTTTATATATGTATGCATAAATCCATACACAGACATATATATAGATACATATGTGTGCCTGTGTGTGCCAGGACTCAGAAAAGAAGTTTGGCGACAATAGCGTTGGTAGTGACTGCGTTATAAGAGGACAAACAAACTATTTTTTCTTTATATATATATATACATTATATAAATGCAGGCATAATACTACATGGATATATAGGTATACGTTTCCATAATCAAATGTAAATTCCCATGTACTTGTACACAGGCACAAGCAGTTCTTTTCTTACGCTCTTATCAGTTCATTCTTAACAGTTCTGCCTGTCTTTATTTTCATTATAAATCTAAAGTGACCTTCACGTATGGAAATTTACTATAATGGTACTGTTGTTCAAACAAATTATAAGAATATAAATATAAATTTTGTGTCAAAGAAACAAAAATAGCTTTTTCAATTTGAGTCTGAAACTTGGAAGTCATGAATACACTAAAACTAGTCGATCAGTTTCAAAGCTTTTGCCTTTGTAGAAGAGAGGAATTTCTTCATTGTGTGTCTCCCTGGGGCTCATCTCTAGCCATTAGATTTCAGATGTACTGATGGCACATTTTAAAAGGTACCTCCATATCAGTGTCTCGATTTCATGGTCAAATAATTTTGAAGTAAGATGTTCAGAATGGATTAGAGTAGCATTTGAAGTGTCACTGTCCGTCAATCTCTGAGATCACAAACAGGATGTAAAAGCTCTCGAATAATGTAAAAATCATTGTCGAAAGACAACACATGTTCCCCATATGAATTTCTGGACCTTGACCTTTTAACTGATTGATTGCATTTACCATTCATTAGACACATATCTCAGCAACTACAGTCAAGGACAAATTCCTGGGAAAGGGTGGCCTCGGCCACTCAATTATAAAATAGTTTTGATAATACAGTATAATGAACGAGATGATAATTAAAGCAGTGAATAGCTGCTAAATTTTTTATAGCAAAGGGAAAAACAGTTAATTCAACTGTGTCAGTGCTACAAAGACAGTCTGGAATTGAAAATAACTGGTTTAGACATGAAAGAAAATAGAAAAATTTACATGCAATGAAGATATCAAACAGGAGAGATTTTTGCTGACTGGGTACCTGAAATTATCTGAAATTTCTCTTAATGTGCTAAATTATGTAGCATAATAAAATATAGTATAATACAGTATTGAAGATAACAACTAATTATCATGTAACTTCTTCCGACAGACAATTTTGAAAAACTCTTTGCACTAAGAAATTACCTTAATTTTGATACCCAAGTGAACATGTTCCCTTAATGAGGCTGTGAATTTAGTATAAAAAAAACAAAGACTAAATGTTTTAAAATTATGGGATTTGCATACTAAATAATATAAATGACATTTTTAATGACTTAAATTCATTCTATTATTAATACGTGAAATATATCACTAATTTTCAATAAACAGTATAAAATGGTACATGATTAAATAATCCTTTTTCTAATTTTTAAAACTAAAATATATTATTCTAAATACAGTTTTGGAACTTCTGCTTTATTATGCATATATTTTGGAAAAGAACTGAATTTAAATTAGGAACACTTATGTAGTTGGGCATTGCAATACTAACGGTCTAATAAAATAAAACCAGATATGTTCCAATTTGCTGAAAGTTTCCTCCTTAAGGAGTACGTTATCAAGCAGATTTTTAACAATTATGTAAAATTTAAATTTCATTGTGCCTATAGAGCATAATTTTAACAGTTCACTTAACTTTAATTTTGAATCATTTCTATAGCACTAAGCGTTTAATTATTCCTTTTATGGAAAAAGTTCAAAGATATATATATATATACCAAAACAAAATAAAAATCACAAGGACATTTTACAGGGGGGAAAAAAACTGACATGAAGTGTAGTTAGATTTTAAATTGTCCATGAAATAATTAAATAGTTGAAATAATTTTGTGGCATAATACTAACATAAAGGTATGACAGAAATAAGTATTGTAAGTACTTACTAAAGTACATAATTTTGCAGTGCAATTTAAAATTCAAACAAAATTTTGTAAAAATGAAAGTAATGTATTATAATATAAAGAATGACATTATCTTCAGCGGAATTTTACGCAGTTCCTTTTGCATAACGCCAGTAGTCTCAATATGAAACAACTGTAATATGAAATTTTGACGAAAAGCATCTTGAAGTCTGGTCACTAATCCCTACATTTCCCTTCCTTTTGTGACATAGATGCAACTTTTCGAGATTCCATTAAACAACACACAAGGATTTTTGTTGCAAATAGGAGGTGATCTCATAAAGGGGAAAAAACATTCGGTTCAAGATACTCCTGTCCTTTCAAGGCTTTTACAGCTGTCAAAACCCCAGCCTCAAAATGTTACGCAGCTTCAAAAAACATGAAAACTGTTACTGTTGTCTATTAATTATAGTATGTATATTTTCGGTACTTTTCCGTTTTGACGGCGCAGGCGACAAAGTTGCCAATAATGGAACAACTGATGCCAAACGAAATTCCTTTTGCACCTCAAAACAAGTCGCAGCCATTTCTTATCAGATTGATTGTTTATTTCAATACTGGCAAACGATTACATAGAATTTTTACCCAGATAGCTCAATTTTATGCCCTAAGGCCATTTGCGGTAATTAAGTCAATTAGGACGCAGTCACACCGCTTACCCGAAGGCAAAAATATAGAAAAGGCAAAGTCAGGAAATAAATTCATCATTTCTAATGAGAATGCTCTAGCGAAGTAAAATACTGTGGTTTTACATAATTTCTGAGTAAGCTATTCATACGGACTGAAATAATTCTTTCTTTTAAACTTGTATTCCAGATTAAGATTTAACTTGAAATTAATATAGATAATTACTGAGAGAATTAGATTTTTGTAGTGTGGTTTATGTGAGATGAGATCACTTGGGGTCACGTGATATGAATCTGCAAATTAGGATGTTGAAACATGAAAGCATAATAAATTCTTAAATTTGTGGAATGTTTGTAATGTCTTTTTACGAAATTGTCTTTTTATTGTTTTTTGCAAAATTTTAAGTGGTATTAAAATGCTTATGCCTTCAAAATAAAAATTCTTAGAACTATCATTTGTTAAAATTTTTTATGTGTATACTGTATCATGTTGCCAATAAAGTCTGCGTGGTGAGATTTGCGCCGGCAAAACAGAAAAGTACCATATTTTCATCTCTGTTTTTACTGTCCATAATCTCAGTTTTATGTTAATAAAGGATGTTGTATCTGTTATTACCTCTTTTAATGGTGAGTTGACTGTTTTTCATTCAAGATTTTTCTTTTATTGAAAAATTATTAAATATGACAATGTGGTGGAAACCAGGACTAAAGAGAAGGGCTAGCTCATAGAGTGTTTCCCCCTGAAACATGCAGTGAGGAGTGGTGACGTAGCAATGATGCCACTGAGCGCGGAGATGCAATTGACAACATAGAAATTAGCGTTTTAAATTTGAAGAACCAGCGTTTAAAATGAGCTGTGTGTGAAAGATAGGTATAATTTGGAAGAGACAATGTTACTGCAGTATGCATTTTACACTGAACATTACAAACTTTAATAGTACTTACTCAATTTTAAAATAATAGATAAAGTGCGCTACTCTTAGCATAAAGTTCCTTTTTTTATTTGCAGGGATTTTTTTTTTCTTTAAATGCCTGTTTGTTTCTAATCATTTTCTTTATCTGCATGTTAACTAAGAGAACTGTACTACTACTACTGCTTCTAAGATAACTATAATAACAGCTATTTAAAATTAATCAAAAAATAACCTTAAATTGGCATAGTTTTTAAACATGTATGGTATATATGGCAAAATTTCTGCTAATCTAAGTTTGAGTTTCAGCCTAATTGTAAATTTTACATTGGCATATTTTTATCCGATTCAATATAATAACATAATATTTTTTAATAATTTTGTAACTTAGGTTACTCAATATTTCATTTAAATAAATACATGTAAGATTCTTATCTTAATTTAGACAAAAACACACTTACTCGCAGTACCTAGAATAATTATTTAATTTTCAAAGTGGGGGTAGGGGGCAGGTCTCTTATGCCAATTACTTTAATATCATACTTTATATATATTTATCTAGAATGCTAAGCTAACACAAAATCGAATCAATAATAACAGAGATACAATAAAAATAACTGTAACAATAACTTAACAGAATTAGTTCTCATTTGAATTAATATGCTTTAGGCTATTAACTTCTAAAATGCCATCTAGAAATATTTCAAATCAAAACATATTATATATGCTTACTGTACAGTCGCATGCAACTACAAGTGTTGAAACATTATTATTGGCTGCCACATTCGCAGCAATCCATTTT